ACTTGTTCCTGTTATGTCATGAAATTGGGTCATTGGCAGTTTTAAAACTTCAATTCATTGATCAGAACAATTTGTATATCAAGTTTTCAAAATGTTGAAGATGGATAGAAATGTAATTATAAATCCAATACCAAAGTGCAAATTGAAACATGAGAATTTGATAAATATTCAGAATTTCTTACTTTTTCTGTACAATATATAAGATGAAATGGAAGTATACTGTACATTTTAGATTACATTTCAGGTCAAACATTTTTGACAGTCCCTATTTTCAAGCTACTCATTTTGGTTAATGCTGTTACTGGAAGAAGAGAGAGATGTGGAGTCCCAAAGTAGTGCTGCCAAATGAATAATCTGTTCAGCTTCATGTTTGATGTGTTATAACGTTCATGCTGTCGTTCATGAGCTCTGAGCACGATATCATTCATTTGGACCTGTTGTAAAATTAAATACTACAGGGCCAGTAAATGCAAGAATCATATCATCATTCCATGATTAAGTGCATCACCAAAGTGTTATTTTAGCACAGCACTCTCAGAAATTTGCTAAAATTCCTTACATGCTTTTTGGTGGGTGAAAATCTCAAGCAATTAAAATTCTAAACTAAAAACATAAGAATTTAATTTCCTCATTCACTGACCTTAGACCTCAGCAAATGAAAAATACCCACATTAAATAAAGTCCAAGTACTTTGGGTGGATACTGAATGGATATTGAATTATACTGATGGTACAGGATTTGTTCTTGGAATACTGCATCTTCACATTGGAGGGCTCACTTTTAATACAGGTTAGTAAATATACACAATATGTACTGCATCAAAGTGATAGCAGAGACTGCCTGGGTCGAGCTCTTGCCCACTAAGACTGAGTTTGGCCCCTGTTCATTGCTTACAACTGGGCTCCTTGTCTCCAGGTTTGGCTTTGTTGCTGTGAAATCTTCATTTTCCATCTGGTCTTCTGCACCTGTGGTTCGGCCTATATTTGTCTTCCTCTTTCTCTCACCTGCTCTGTCTTTGCATCTCATGTTGGTTTCATTGTCTTTAACAGGTTGGTCACCTAGTTGTGCCACGGATTGGATTAATAAGGCTGTTCTTTGTGTGGGCATATATTTTGGATGTTTAAATAACTTACTTTTTTATTTATGAAAAACTTTCTTTCAGGAAAATGAATTCTATACAGATTCTCAAATTGACTGTAAAACCCAGTCAATAGCAAAAAATATCTGAGAATATATTTATATTTGGATATCTGTAGGCTAGTTGTGTGCTATTAATCTGAACTGAAGGGTGGAGTGGTGGCTCTGTGGCTAAGGATCTACGCCTGTGGCTGGAAGGTTGCCGGTTTAAATCCCGAGGCCGGGAGAGGAATCCTACTCCGTTGGGCCCCTGAGCAAGGCCCTTAACCCCAACTGCTCCAGGGGTGCTGTACAATGGCTGACCTTGCACTCTGACCCCAAGCTTCTGTCCCTGTCTGTATCAATCATGGAGAGCAAGTTGGGGTATGTGAAAAAGACTAATTACTAATGCTGTTGATTAAAATCAGCACAGATTTTGAGTTCCCTAAGTACAGTAAATACTGTCTTGTTTTTACATAAGACTCCATCTTCATTATCACCTTGTAAAAATAACTTTAAATAATAATACCAGATTATGTGTTCCATATATTCTGTCAGCATATAAACACTAATTAATGGCTGAATTATAATTGGAATATGTACACAATTATTCAGATTACTTCTCTGGAGTATTCATATTCAGAATACTCATTACAAATGCCATGCTAATAAACATATATAGTTGTGCTCTCTTTTTTGGGGAAAATAAAACAATAAATTTGCTGTGAACCAAAGGTGCTGTGATGTGTTTATTTTTATTTGACATTAGTAGGCAGCTCTGATTTGATCTTTTCAGGGTTAAAGCTCTCCCACAGGGAGCTATCAATTTATTATTTTCTATCCCTGAGAATGTAAAGAATGTTTGTTCTTCCTCGTGGGAGTTCTTGGAAAAACTGCGATGCTGCTGAACAATTAAGAAGTGATCTCTGGAGGTGCTCAGCCTTTTCACCTATCGTTCAAGACTGACGTTCAAAAACCTTGATTGTTTTTATTTACCATGGAATCTTCTATGACGAGAATTAAAGGTGTGAAAACTTTCAGGAATGAGATGGTCTTAAATCATTGAAATTTCATTTTTTTTAAATGTCTTTATACAACAAACGTAGGTATAAAACACTTAATGCAACATTTAGTCTTCCTTATTTTTAGGCATTTGTTTTCATTAGAAGAAGTAAAGATTTCTTTTACTTTTGTGCAGATGTATTTTTTTATATTTATTTTTTCTAAGAGTCTCACTTATTTGAATAACAGGCATAAATTCTAAATGCATTCTGGGTATTTTTTAGAATTTTTTAAAAATTAAAACAAATTGAATTGGATTCAAATTGTGAAAATATTTGTTTAAATATGCAGTCCCAATGTTTGAAATCCATTAAAGCAATGGCTTAATAAACGTCTTTCAGTAAGAAAATGAGAAATACATAGCATTATAATAACACCAACAACAAAATAGAATAGCTTGTATCACTCACCAAAATGAGTATTATATGTTCTATGACCATTTAGTACTGTAAGTAGAATACATAATGGTTTTAGACCTATGTAATTTTATCTTGAAAGGCCAATGCACAATGTTAGTAATTTAATAAATGTAAAAAAGGCAGTACACAAAAGGAAATTAAAGTTGAATTAGGAGTTCATGAATTACGTTTTACAATCCAGTTACATGGAGGTTTAACATTAAAGAAAATTAAATGCTTCTAACTAGGCAATATGGCTTTTTTATGGTGGTTTAATGTTTTCAATCGGAAAACAAGCGGATACATTTACGAGCTCCCTCCTCATGCATTCAATATGCTAAACATGACCTTGTTAATCCACCAGTTAGAATCTACATTTGTTTGCTTTGGATAAAAAAACTATTGCATTAAACATTAACATATAGCTGGCTTTCCTATTTTTAAATGAAAGGTTGTTTGTTTTAAGATCTGTGCAAAGATTCTTACGGACTTGCTTCTGATTTACTATACCTTATATATTTGCATTTTTTTGCACTTTATTGAAAATACAGATGTCTTGGAGAACCTTCTTTTCAAGTAAATAATGAGGTAGAATGACCAAAATACATTCAATCCTGCAACAGCCCAGAGGCCCACTTCCTGTCTGTGATGTTTTGGAGGAGAACATCAGCCAATTCAAATTAAACCCTACAGAGATGTGACTAATAGCATGCTGGGATAGTCTGGAGTCTTAACTACAGTACTTCAGCTTGTTAGTTTGTTTACTTAAATAGCCTGGTGGCATGCTTGTTTAGTTGGCCTCCCCCATTAATTCTTGAAGGAGGGACAGCCATAAAAATGTTCCAGATGCAACAAATGATGTAGTCAAATGTAAAAGCTAGTGATGTACAGAAGTACACACAAGCACATATGCATACATATCCATAAATATACATGTGTGTATGTTTACATTGACACTATTCAAGTGCAATTAGGTTTGCAGTACTGGCTAAAAAGACAATTCTCTTATATGTGTTCATATAAAATTTGTGCATGTGAGTATTATATACAGTATATTATAGTTGATGTATAAGTTTGTATATAGTGATCTTGATGTGTGGGATTGTGGCTCAGTCCTAGCACAAATCTATGATATTGTCTGTTGAATGGATCTACTGGAACTCCATTCACAAGGGTCATTTCTCTGAAAGAGGAAGTCGTTTTATGACAATTGCTGTTAGAGGACATTACAGCACTGGTGTAAAGATGGAAAGATGGTGGCTCTGTGTCTGGTTCAAGAATAAACAGCCATGCTTTCCAAACTTCACGCACACTCAATTTCTATAATCACTCATTTAATTTTTTTTTGTCCAGTGTGCTAATGTTGATCTCCTTACATGGGCGGCAAGTAGTTGAGGGAAAAATGTTTTCAGTTTACTTACTGGAGGGTGTTAGGTTAGGTGTGATCCAGCAGAGTCCTTTATTCATGTGCATGGAGAGGATACAATCAAGCAGATCTAAGAGCAGCCTCTCAAACAGATCTGTCAATGCAATGGGTTTTATACAGCAAATTCACTCAGGCTAGCTCATTCTAAATTTCCACATTAGGAGTTGTCTTCTCTCTTTTTTGTAATTGACCACTTTATTCTTAAGAAGCAGTTTTACCTTGTATACACACAAAATGAAGTATATAAATAGAAGGTGTGAAATTGAGCTAGACAGACTGCAGTTTCTAGCATTAGCATCAAAACATCCAATAATATGCTTGCAATTGTCCTTTCATACTGTTAAAAAGGCATGTTAGCAAAGCCAAATAGTCACTATCTTATACACTTTTAAAAGGTAAATGCTAAAATTCTTCCCCAAGGGTATTGCGTAAAATCTACTAATCTTTAATTTTCTGTATTCATTCATACAGTACATATATACATGACTCTTTTTTGCTTTTGCCTTGTTTTATTGTAAAGCACCTTAATGCCATGAAAGTAACTATAAAAATAGATATTAATAGGACTTTAAATCTGTTTTTCTTTACAAGATGTTAATATTAAGCTTTCACAAACTATAAGTTCATTGTCACGATTGTTTGGCTGGTAAGGGAGGTAAGGCTTCCCAGAATAATTATATTCTATCAATTGGACATTGTCTTTTACTCTCTGTTGTGCTTTAAGCAGTTGAATTTTATAAGAGCTCAAAATTCAGGTGTTGATTCTTTTGAAGGTTTTCATATTTTCAGAACATCTTAGCCTTGTAACGTATCCTAACGTATTCATTGGCTCTAAATTACATCTTATCAATTTCATGTTACAATTTAAGAGTCCTAGTGGTAACAATAAATAGCTTGTTTCTGTATGTGCTTATATTCCTATGCTTTTTTCCTTGTGTTTTATATAGTCTGTTACATTGTGATTAATGTATTCCTAACAATTATTTCATTTCTTTTAGAAACATAAGCTTGCATGATGGATGAATCACAGTGCTTCTACAATGAAACCATTGCCTTCTTTTACAACCGCAGTGGAAAGTACCTGGCCACAGAATGGAATACAGTCAGCAAACTTGTAATGGGATTAGGTATCACCGTGTGCATTTTTATTATGTTGGCAAACTTACTAGTTATGGTGGCCATCTACGTAAACCGTCGATTCCACTTTCCTATTTATTACCTAATGGCCAATCTGGCAGCAGCAGACTTTTTTGCAGGACTGGCCTACTTTTACTTGATGTTCAACACGGGTCCTAACACACGGAGATTGACTGTTAGCACTTGGCTCTTGCGTCAGGGCCTGATTGACACTAGTTTGACTGCCTCTGTGGCCAACCTTCTGGCCATTGCCATAGAGCGCCACATAACTGTGTTCCGCATGCAACTCCACACGCGCATGAGCAACCGACGAGTAGTGGTGGTGATTGTGATCATCTGGACCATGTCGATTGTCATGGGTGCCATCCCCAGCGTGGGCTGGAACTGCATTTGTGACATTGCTACTTGCTCCAACATGGCACCACTCTACAGCAACTCCTACCTGATCTTCTGGGCCATCTTCAACCTGGTCACCTTTGTGGTCATGGTAGTCTTATACGCACACATCTTCGTCTACGTGCGCCAGAGGACAATGAGGATGTCTCGCCACAGCTCTGGGCCACGCCGCAACAGAGACACCATGATGAGCCTTTTGAAGACTGTGGTGATTGTTCTGGGTAAGTTCCTTGCATGTTATCCTTAAACTCATTGTTCACAAATACTAGCTTATTCTCCTGTAGTGCTCTGCTGATTTAAAGGACATATGGAGTGAGTCATGTCATCATGCCATTGGTGAATTTGTCATTGTTAGCAAAGCACACAAACAACGACCACACGCAACCACACCCTGAACTTTGTTTTGTTCCAGAGGATTTATTAAATCTGCTAAACATATCCATTCCAGACAGCGGATACTTGAAAACTTTGGTCTGTTACTATTCACAAAGGCCAAAGATGACTTTCTTCAGATGTGCTTTGTGATCTTAATTGAAATGTACAGTATATTGTAGTGTAATACTTTTTGATTTCATTGAATATGACCTGCTCTTTTTTTCTGTCAGGGAGTAATTATTGTCTTCATTCATTCTGTTCTTCTATTTTTTTTACTGAATAATGCGTAGTGTAGTTAAACTGAATAAGATGAAAGTTCAGACTCGCCCAGCTTTTGTTACTGTTCCATAGGCATGATGAAAACCCATTTTCCATAACATTTTAAATACTTTACATTTACCAGTTTTGGCACTTATTAACTAAAGAGCATTAAATTAAATCATTAAAATGTTTGAGATATTAAATGGATGTTGTGTATTCTATTAATAATTTACATCTCAACCACTTGTTAGCATAAGTTTGAAACACATCTAAACCTTCTGTTTTTTGTGTATGAGTATTAAATGTGTACTGTATATATGTAAAAAAAAACTGGCTGATTTACAGGAAATTGGTTTAATGTTGAAAGTAAAAATTAAATAATGAATGTAGATTTATAGGATTCCACACAAGTTCTACTGTCATTAATTATTCTAATAAAACAATCTGGCAATAATACATTTATGTATTTGCAACATCCATCTTGGTTTGCACTCAGTTTTGCCACACTGTAGCCATTTAGGACCTAAAACATTACTGCAGTGTAAGAGTGTCGATGAACCTGTGAAGATTGAATTCAATTAGTTCAGCAATTCCATAGGCAGCAGCAGTTTGAGTTTTCCAAAAAAGTGGCAGTCTGACAGGTTTCTTTGTTTATGCACAAATCCCATATGGCAATATGTAAAAGTTAGTGTCACAGAAATGTTACCCACCAAGTTACGAGATAAATGGCAAAATAGCAATTCATGATACAAGATATGTCAACAACAGAATAAGGTGGTGATCAGGTTGTCTTCATGGTGTAGGAATCCTTTTTGCTGTTTTGTAATTTCAGTGTCATGCTAATGAAGCCTACAATGTTTGGAATTCATTCGCCAAGCTCTGAGAAGGGTCATGGCAACATGACAAGTGCAGGTCCAAAGCAGTTTTTATTGTCCTGAGACCGGCTTTTCAGTTCAGTCTGTCCTTTGGTTCCCCGACAATATATAAATATATATTGTATGCATTTCCCAATGATAAAAACAGTCATTTTCTTGTAAGAGAGGCACCTATTCACACTGATGCCAGCCATCTGAGAGAGAGAGTAACAGAAGCATCCATTTCATATACAGAGTAGATCTCTCGGACTGATCCTTCATCTTTGGCTAGTCATTTTGTCACCACATATGGGTGTTTTTCACACAGGTTCTGTTCTTAATCATACCTCCTGTTCAGTGTGGTTTGTTCTTTGGGTTTCCTGGCAAATTTCTGAGGTCACAAAAGCTACTATGGGTTTGACATCAGGCACAGTGCCTTGAAAAGTATTCCCCTTATGTTTACAGATAAAGAGAAGGGTATAAAATAATTTCTGAGACCCTCAATATGTTTTTCAGTATGCAGTGGATAATCATTAAGAAGTGGAAGGCACCCTGACTGCTAAGAATTGGACTTCCCCTCCAAACTGTGCAGCTAGGCAAGGAGGACACTAGTTAGGGATGCCACCATGAAGTCAATGGTAACTTTGAAAGAGTCACAGTGGCTGAGATAGGAGAAAATGCCCACAGGAAAACAGCTGCCCGCTCCACAAAGAAAGCTTGTATTGAACTGAAAATAAATATTAAGTTTTATATGAGGTCTGTAACAAAGCATCCGAGTCATACAGCAAACACGTATAAAAGGCTCTGTAGTCTTATCTTGTAGTCTGATGCAAACCCAAATTAGGGCATCACTCAGTCAACACTGTCCCTGTTATCGAGCATGGTGGTGGCATTATTATATTATAGCTCTGCTTCTCATTAGCAGGGACTGGGAAGCTTGTCAAGACAATGGGAACAAAAATGAAGAAAAATAATGGGAAATCTTAAAAGAAAACTTACTATAGACCTACAACTGTTGCAAGAATTCACATTTCAGCAGGACAATGACCCAAAGCACGAGGCCAAAGCAAAACCCAAGTGGCTTAACAATAAAAACAGTGTATGTCCTATAGTAGCCAAGTCAGTGCTGACTTAAATCTTTGGAAAGAATTGAAAATTGCTGTTTGTGAGTGATCCCCAAGCAACTTAAGAGAACTTGAGCAAAGCTTCTGCTAAAAAGAACCGGAACAAAAATTACTCCAATCAGAGTGCAAAGTTGGTAGACTTACCAGAAAATACTTGTGGCTTTAAAATCTATCTATTGATAGATCTATCTCTATCTATAGAGCTCACACCTGAAGAAAGCTCCACGGCTGAAACATTGTGTTTTCTTTCTTCTCTTTTCAACATGGAATAAACCTATTACTTGTTCCCATATAGAAATCTAAGTCTGTAAAAAAAGGACACAAAACAGAAGCTATTTTACACAAAAGGCTGCATTCCAATTTAAACTGTTTTCACAGAAATGTTCTCATAATAGTTTGTCAGATGACAATAAAGTGAGGGAATGTGAGCAACAGTGCTAAAAGCAGGATACCTTAGAAATTCCCCATTGAAATTAAGAACATAGGCTATTATTTATAAAAATAATTCTCCTAAAATTCATGTTTTACTTGCAGTCTCTTATGTTGTTTTCGTTTTCACTAGGGTGTCTGTAATTACAGAACAGTCAGTACAACCTGAAGTCAAGTTTGTAGCTGTTAAAAGGATGCCCTGGGAAAACAAGTTTGTTTTTTTTCAGCACATACACATAGCTGCTCTTCAGTTGCAACATTAAGGATAGAGACAGATATTTGGAAATGCTGGATTTTTTGAGATGGTGGATTTATCCCACACATGTACAATAGTAATCACTGGCACAGTGACTCCAAACAACAAAAACAGTTGTGGCCAGAGTTACTAATGCAGCTCCCCAAATGAACAAACATGTTTAACTGATTGTATGATGCATTGTGATTGTTTCTTTCAATCTGTTTTAGCAATATAATTTTCTAATTGAATATGTGATTAAATTTGATTCATGTGTTTCACCACAGTTTAGCAATCTTTGTTTTATGATGTAGTTATTCTTTTGCTGTGTTGTAAAGTGCTTTGAAATGGTGACCTTTTTACTGCTTTTTAGGTATGTTACAAAAGGTAACATTTTGTATATATCTTTTGGATTTTAAAAATAATAATAAATAATGAAGGAGTGTGCATACTGTTTTACAATTTATCTTTGGCCCTTGTAGAACCTTTAAATCTCTAACTATTGGCAAACTATGGGTTATCCAGTATTTGTCTCATCATCATATTTTTTTGTACTTAAACATTAGCCCACTTTTAATTTATACAGCTCTACATTGTTTTTGTCTTTTTTCAGTGAAGTGGCAAAAGTTGTGTCTGTATAGCATCAGCTCTGAAATTGTAAACAGTGCATCTGTTCAGTCCACTGTGTATCTGTAGGTTTTTGTTGTCAGTTCCAGCATTTGCCTAGCACAGTGTGTCTCTGAGTTATGACTCCACAGTTCGTTTTCTTCCTCAAAGAACTGATAACAGCAGCCAATTTTGGATGAAGGCTTTGCAGTACTCTCAACGTAAAACAAAGGTCATCATTGTTTAGTTCAGGACAGTTGTGGCTTTGGATGAAAAGAAGGAAGAGCTATTTAGAAATTTCAGGAAGTGAACTATGGATTCTTAATCTATTCACTGAGTCTAAGGCTTCAACAAGCTTAATGGATTTCTTAGTACTGTGACCTTCATGGACATTAAGTTATTCAGTAATATATTATTGTGTTAATATAAAAATGAGCTTCAACATAATTAATATTTCAGAATCCATACTTTTAAGGATATTCACCAAAATTTTGGGAAAAAAACAAGCTACTACAAAGTGAAATACTGTACAAGGAATGGCATTCACTGGAGCACAAGTGTGACAGGCACTGCTCCCTCTAAGCTGCGCGCAACAAGCTCGGAGGGAATTTTTTTGCGTGGAAGATTTGACTGAGTGTGAATGTTGGCATTTTCCCGTTAATGTTTACCTTCACGCGTATCTACGGTTGTGGCTCTAGTCTTACTTATCTACTGTCTTTGACGCAAGTTTGCGAACTATATTATGCTTTCATCATTTCCTGTTTATAAGTGTAGCGTCGCGTAGAGAGACAATTGTATTGAAACGACCGCGGAGTTCGGTATGGAAGGGAGCAGGCGTAGGACTCAGGAAAAGGGGTTGAACAACATATTTATTAACCAGAACCGGGGAAAGGTTTAGGGACAGGGATTACAGAGCCGAACCTACACTATACAGACAGGGTAAGGAAGAGGCCGCATCATACAGCCCCCGCCCCCTTATATACATTCCGGTTCCCCGAAGTCCCGCCCCTCAGGCGCTGTTCCCAGCCCGCCTTGCGTGCGCATGGCCAAAGGGGTCGGAGCAGCCGTTATACAGTATCATATTTGAACCGCCACCTTACTTGCATCAAGTGCGGATTGCGAACGCGGGTTCAGTCTGACGAACATGATAAAAACAGTCTCGAAACCGTCTGGAAGAGTTACATTTAAGATATGCTCATGAGAATTAAAACAATGAGCAGAAGATTGTAGCGTTTACAGGTTCTTCTCAGAACAAAGGACCAGTGGAGACACGATTAACTAACCAAGCGATAGCTTTATTCTTTATCAACTACACCAAAACCAATCACAGGATATTC